ATATAAACGTTTTCCATTACTAATGTTTGTTTCACCAACTCATTGGTTCTTGCTTCTGTTTGCAGATGTCAACATTGTGGCATTAGCCACAGGGCCACTCCTCTGATGCGCCGTGGGCCTCTTGGTCCCAAGTCTCTTTGCAATGCATGTGGGCTCATGTGGGCCACCAAGGTTGACTTTTTTTTTTTTTGTTTCCCCCCTGCTTTTTTGTTGTTTTATGATTTGGTAAGCTTTATTTTTTTTAGGTTGAATTATTTCTGGGTAGTTCAGTTATATAAATCAAACTGGGGACACGGTGTTGCAATTATCAACAACTTACCTATCAAGCCCAGGCCCAATTCCTAAGCTGGGCCCTTTGTATATTTTCGACTGTGATGTGCTTTTTAATTTATGGATTGAATTTCATTGGTTATGATGGATCGATCCATTTGAGGTTCCTTAGCTACTTTTAGAACTTTTTATTATTTTTCTCTGCTTAGTTCAGAGAGAGAGAGAGAGAGAGAGATGCTAGTTGTTTTGGAACTGAGGGAGATGCTGCAAGTTGTGATGCAAATTGAATTGCTCTTTTGGTACCATGTGCAGGGGACGTTGAAGGATCTTTCTGGCTCCAAGAGTTCAAATCCTGTTGTGACTCAGAATCCTGTCGATTCAAGTGAGAAGGTATCGTCGAAACATGATTGAAATGCAAAGGGGAAGATGGAAAATATTAATATCTTTATCAAAATCTTCTAAGCTATAGAATGCCTTACCTCTCTTTGTGTGTGTGAGAGAGAGAGAGAGAGAGAGAGAGAGAGAGATTTAAATGTGTTCTGTACTTTTTCAGGTTGAAGGTAATGTGGAAGAAATGAGGAGCAATAGCTGAGTTCGAATACACTCTATAAGTGATGACTTAAAATGTGATGAATTTGGTTGTTAGGGTGCACAATGTGGTCGATGTTATCTGCACATATATAGATATTTATGGGTTGAGATTTGTGTTGAGACTTTGAAATCTTTTAAACATATGAATACATGCCCTCGTGAACAAGTGCTCAGAGAGAGCACGCTTTTCAGTTTTGGTGCACCCTTCCTAGTAAAAATCCATGCCATGTTTGATTTTTCTCTGATGTGCTTTATCTGGGTGATGTTCCTGTGTGGGGGGTTGGAATGGGTCCGGCCAGGTCTAGGTAGACTGGAAACCAACTTATAAGTTGGACTTGGATGCCACCCGGGGTTGGGGCCGGTCTATAAATAAAAAACAAATAAAAAATCTAAAAACATTTTATAATATATACTTAATATTATGTATATATATTTATATTAATATACTGGGTCGGGTTAGGTCAGTTTGACCTTCGAATGGACACAACCTGACCCAACAACCAGATTTAAGCCGGAGTTGGACCCCAACCCAATCTGAGTGATGTACCAATCCTCGACATTTTTAAATTGCATTGACATTTATCACATGAGCAATTTAGAAAGGAAAACGTTTATATAGAGCCGAGGCTCCATTACCTCAAAAATTTCATTAGAAGAGATTGTTTTGATGCTCAAATATCTTCAAATTGATCATCTCGACATTAAGATGTCAAGGCATCAGAAAAAAATAGATTTTAAAAAATATTTTCATCTCTTATTTTTAGGTTTTATTTTATAATAGACTCAAGGTTTTAAAAGATATTTTGGGGCATAAAAATTGTAGATTTTATTGCTTTTAACCTTTTGAGTTAATTTAAATTAAACTTGGTTGTTTTAGACCAAATAAATCTACAAAGATGTGCTTTTTGTAAAAGCCATCGTCTCAAACTTCTTTCTCTCTCTCCTTGCATCCGTTATCTCTCTCTTTCCTATATGTCTCCCTTCACTCTCTCTCCTCTCGCTTTTTTTTCATATTTCCCATCTTTTTCCCCACTCTGTCTCCTCCCAAATACACAATGTATATCGAGTGAAAGAGAACAACAGATAGAGAGAGAAGAGAGCGTTGAGAGTTTCAGTATAAAATTATAGAAATATTCATGTCTGCCATGAAGAATTTGATCCCCTTTCATTCAATCTTTTGAGCCTTTCAGAGGTTGGGGATCAAGAGTTCAATCAAGGATATTTTTGAGCTTTAGATACCCTCATTTCAAATTCAAGATGATGAGAATCAAGGTAAAGACCCCAAGACCCATGATGATGAACGGGAGCTTGAATGGTGGTGGCTTTGAAATAGTGGTTGTGAGCTTAGGCCTGGAGGAATGCTTGTTCAGAAGAGAAGCCTAGCTTCTGATTAGGCTTCTTCTGCTCTAGTTCCCACCATTAGGGTTAGAGTAAACTATGGAGTGTTGATGCATGAGATCCACATTAGTTCTCAAGCCAGTTTGGGGAGTTGAAGAAATTGCTTGCATCCAAGACAAGACTCCACACTCAAGACCAAAAACTTCTCTTTACAGATAAAAAGAGAGACTCTAATGTTTATTTGGACATGGAGGGAGTGAAGGACAAATCAAAGATTGTCCTGATCAAAGATCCCACCTGTTAGGAGAGAAGGCATATTGAGACGAGGAAGAATGCTGTCACACCCCAAGAATTTACAGTACTGTTATTCCTGAGATGTGACAGACACAACATATATACATCTATTGATAGGACAAATTTACAGTGGCGAGGTCTTACAAAGTAACAAAAGAAAGTTTAAATAAAACTACAATATCTTCCCAAGGTTGATCTTGACGAAGACACAAATGAAACCGCAGTTATCCTGAAAAATGTTTACCATAGTTTGATGAGTTTGGCTACTCA